GGCGACGGGCCGGGGCCTAGGGGGGTGCGCCGGGCATGGCCCTAGGCTAGGGGCAACGGGCCGGGGCCTAGGGGGCGACCGGCGACGCGCCGGGGCAACAGGCCTAGGGGCGACAGGCCGGGGCGACGGGCGACGGGCTGGGGCGACGGGTGTAGGGGCGACGGGCCTAGGGGCGGCGGGCCGGTGCGACGGGCCTAGGAGCGACGGGCCTAGGGGCAACGGGCCGAGGGGCGACGGGCCGGGGCGATTGGCTGGGGCTGGGGGCGACGGGCGCGGGCCGGGGCTAGGGGCGACGAGTGCGGGTCTGGGCTAGGGGCGACGAGTGCGGGTCTGGGCTAGGGGCGACGGTCGCGGGCCTAGGGGCGACGGGCGTCGGGCCGGGGCCTAGGGGCGTCGGGCGCGGGCCTAGGAGCAACGGGCAACGGGCCGGGGCCTAGGGGCGACGGGCGCGGGCCGGAGCTAGGGGCGACGGGCGCGGGCCTAAGGGCGTCGGGCGACGGGCCGGGGCTAGGGTCGACGGGCTCGGGCCGGGGCTAGGGGCGACATCCGCGGGCCTAGGGGCGACGGGCGACGGGCCGGGGCCTAGGGGCGTCGGGCGCGGGCCTAGGGGCGACGGGCGACGGGCCGGGGCCTAGGGGCGACGGGCGCGGGCCGGAGCTAGGGGCGACGGGCGTGGGCTTAGGGGCGTCGAGCGACGGGCCGCGGCTAGGGTCGACGGGCTCGGGCCGGGGCTAGGGGCGACGGTCGCGGGCCTAGGGGCGACGGCGACGGGCCGGGGCTAGGGGCGACGTGCGCGGGCCTAGGGGCGACGGGCGACGGGCCGAGGCCTAAGGTCGAGAGGAGGGTTGCACGAGGGCGGCGCGGGAGGCAGTAGGTGCGGCACGAGGGTCGTGAGGGGCTGCTAGTGGAGCAGCGTTGTGGTGGGCCCAAAAAAACGGTCATAGCGAAGGACCTGCTCTGAAACCATGTCAAAGTAATGAACGAGAAAAAATGGATGCATTGAGAAGAAGTTGGGTACAAGTACTAACCCTAATTGGGTTGTACCCCTTATGGGCTACCCCACTATAGCCTACACAATTGCAAAGCACTAGAACATTCTGACAGAGACGATGAGTCAAGGGAGCGGAGATGCAGCCGAGAAGACGAGTGAGCCGCCACCATCCAAGATTGAGGCACTGGATGGCTCCAACTATGAGGAATGGAGCGGGCGGATGCGGAGTGCATTCAAGCGCTACAGGCTGCTCAAACTTGCGATGGAGGAAGAGAAGATGCAGGAGGAAGGAGATGCCCGCGATCGGTGGATTGAGAAGAGCGCGGTGCTGTACGACCTAATCCTTCAATCGGTCAACAACGACATGTTCCAACACATTAAGGATTTGGTGGAGCTGGATGATTCCGGACCAAATGCGTGGAAGCTACAGTGCGATGTGATTCAGCCCAACATGCTGCCGATGGTGATTGTGTTGGTGAAGGAGCTGGCTGCCCTCTCCATGCGACCGGGTGATGATGTGAAGCCGGTCCTTGACAAGATCAAGGACACCTATGCGAGGATGGCAGCGGCGGGCAGCAAAGTGTCGAAGATGCAGCAGTGCACCAAAATCATCTCGGTGCTCGACAACTCATGGGACAACCTCATCCCCACCCTCAACACTCAGCACGACCATTGGATGCCTGAGTGGCTACGGCATCAGATTCTGCAGGAAGACTTCCGCAGGGGCCACACCGGAGGTGGTGCTGCCAACAAAACTGCTGAGGGGTATGGAGATGCAGGAGGCAGCAGAGGAAGAGGGGGTGGGAGAGGTCGAGGCAGTGGGAGAGGCCTTGGCAGAGGGAGAGGCTGAAGTGACTATAATGATGGGCATGGGAGCTCTGGCGGCAAGGGGGGTACCCGAATGGAGGGAGCGTGCTGGTACTGCAAGAAGGCTGGACACCCGTGGTTCAAGTGTTTCAGCCGGGTGGAGGGATGAGCGCCCCAAGGTATGAAGCCGCCAAGTGGTGAACGTGCACGAGGTGGCGCTGTGCAAGGTTCAGACGCACAAGGTGATGGTGCACAAGGTAAAGCCGACCGTGGGATGTTCCTTATGGTTGGAGATGTGAAAGGGAGTGAGGGTGATGTGGGTTCAGTTGGGAAGGTTGTGATGCACCCCCTCACTCACTGGGTGATCGATTCAGGTTGCACAAGTCACATGACCCCACGGGCAGATTTGCTTGACGAGGAAAAGCCCCCTAGAAATATTAAGTTTGTGGCTGCCGCTTCAGGTGCTTTGCTCCCTGTGATTGGTGCTGGGAATGACAAGGTGATGGGAGCCAATGAGGAGCTTGTGGGGCTGGGAAATTTGCTGCTAGTTGAAGGTTTGTCCGCTAACCTTCTTTCGGTGCGCCGGCTGCAGAAGAAGAAGGCTAAAGTTACCCCCGGTCCAACGAGCTACCGGGCGAAGCTTGGGAAATTTCTGCTGTGGGATTTGGAGAAGAGCAGCTGCATCAAGGACCTATGGCAGCTGCCCATTATCCCTTGGAACGGGAAATCACCAGCAACGGCAGCGGCAGCAGTGACGGCTAAAGCAACTGCGAAAGACGAGGAGACAGCACCAAATGATGGGGCCCTGGATGCAGTCAAGAAGGTGCAGCAGCCACAGCAGCCACATGGTGAGGTGCTTGCTGGTGTGGATGCGACAGCTGCATGCGCAAAGGCTTCATCTGGGAATGGTGATGCCGATTGGGAGACGTGGCACGAGAGGTTGTGTCACATCAACATTCCTACGAGAAGTTGGTGAAGGATGAGAGCTTGAAGGGGTTGGAGGTGAAAGGGGCAGTGAAGGAGATTGGGAGCTGCCCTACATGCCTTGAGACAAAATTCACCAAGTTCACATTCAGCAGCGGCACTGGACCAGCCACGGCACCACTCGCACTTGTGCACATGGATGCGGTGAGCCCTACAAAGGCCCCTTCTCTCTCGGGCAGCCGCAAATTCTTAACCATTGTGGACGACCACACGCATGCCGTGTGGGTGCACCCTCTCAAGACTTAAGGGGAGGTGGCAGCGGCTGTTCTCAAGGAGTGGATGCCGAGAGCTCAAAGAGAGAGCGGAAACAAGGTGAAGGTGATCCGCACCGAAAACGGAGGAGAGTTCATTGGCAATGAGTTTGAGGCGGTGCTGAAGAAGAAGGGCATTCAACATCAGCTCACAGGGCCCTACAACCCTCAGCAGAATGGCGTGGCTGAGTGGTTCAACCGGACCCTGCAGGAAGGTGCTCGCACTCTCCTTGGGCGTGCAGGGCTGCTGGATCCGTTTTGGGTGACTGCACTGTGGCAGGTCGCTCTTGTGACAAACAGGGTGCTGGTGACTGTGGGGAACAAGCAGTGGGTTCCCTACACCAAGTGGTATGGGAGTGCAGCTGCAGTCAACATGCTAAGATCCTATGGCTGCATGGTGGTGTTTCATGTGCCTAAGGTGAAGAGGGGAAAGCTGGAAGCTTCTGGGAGATGGGGTGTGCACTTGGGGATTGCCAAGGATCACAAGGGCTGGTTGGTGTGGGACTTGACCAGCCAGAAGCTGATTGTTTCGAGGGATGTGAAGTTCCTTGAGTCACTTTACTACAAGGAGTGGAAGCAGCAGCAGCAGAAGCTTCCTACTCCACCGCTGATCATTGAGGCCGATGAGATGCAGCGGCCTTCAAGGCAAGTGGAGGTTACTGTTTCAGAGGAGGAGATCTTTGGGGTGACTGAGGATGGGGGAGAACCTGAGGTGGAGGAGTAGCAGCAGCAGCAGCGGCAGGAAAGTGCTCCACCATGTGCCGAACGTCTGCCTGACCGTCCTAGGAGGGATGTGCGCCCTCCTAACAGGCTGACTTATCCCAGCTTTGGCAAGCCAAGTGTGGTATCAGCTGGGAGTGTAGCTGAGCAGATGGATGAGGATGAGATAGCCTACTGCTATTGGGCTGCACTGAGATGGTTTGGAGGATATTTTTGTGAGGGAGAGGCTGCAACGGGGTGCTGCAGGTTTGAGAAAAAGGAGATGTGCGAATGTTCATTGAGATGAGTGTTGGAAATGAATGAAGCTTGGTGGAATGTGTGTGCATTGATTGTGCATGCATATGATGAGGCATGTGGGATGATGGTTGGCAGCCAGAGGGGGAATTTGTTATGTGATGCTATCATTTGCATTCACGTCTGTCTGCCTCCCATCATATGTTCGTGCGTTGCATGTGTGGTGTGAGTGAATGCAAGAATTTGTGTTTGGTGTGGTTTGGATATTGTGAGTTTTATTTTCCTTGATCAGATATCTGAAGTGACTCCTCTGCTCAAGAGCTTTCCGACGAACCAAGAATCGTTGCGATCGGAACAAGAACGAGAAAGATATGATCGTTCGAAGTTTTGATTGTGATGTGACGACTAAGGGAATTTGTAAAGTGACTCAATATGGGGTATAGACTATTTGGGGTTGGGAAATTCGTGCCCGTCACTGTAGATGATGCCAGGTGGTTGGGAGAAGCCAAACCAGGTTGGCAAGTGTGGCCAAGTTGGGTGAGGTGGAGGGCATGAGTTGGGAAAGTGACAAATGTCAAAGTTGGGGTGCCTATAGAGGGGGGAACTGTGTGGTATGGGGTTTCCTTGGTTGGGGACTCTCTTGGGACCTTCCCTCTCGTCCTCCTCATCCTCTCCTACCTGGTTTATTGCTACTCCAACTTCCTTGTGTGGCACTTGTGAGTAAATTGTGATTGAGTTAAGTTTCTATGGCAGCATACCCCCTAGTGCGTCGAAATTCATAACTCGAGTTATACTCCATTTTGTTATACGATTCAATTTGGGAAAGATAGCCACGGTCAAGGGCTACAACATACTCGAGTTTGAGAGAATTCTAACAGTGCGTTTTTTGTCGACGACGTTTCTGTCCAGAATTATAGTTGACGATTTTGAGATATTTCAGCCCCTAATCTTCATAGACTCCGTCCTTAGTCTCTAACACAAGGTGGCGGTGTGGTGTACCCAAAGCTTGTGCAATGCGTGGAAATCGTGATACGGCTGCCGGAGTCGTGGTCTGCCCCTTGCCATCAACCTCAACTCCCAACAACCCCAAGGGAGCGTGGATTACATCCGGGCGCGTGTCTTTGAGGAGGACTTGCGGTGTCGGAGTGTGGAGCACTCGGAGGAGGGGGCCAGCTATGGAGTTGGAGGTGGAAGAGAGGCTTCAAGAAGAAGTGGAAGGGCAAGAACAACGACAACCACACAAGGGGAGGTGTGTTTCTACTGCAAGAAGCGCGAAAATCGTTGGCGGAGGTGCTACCAACGACCTAAGCATTGGACCCCGCCTTCATCAAGCAACCAGCATGGTGGCAAGAGGTGGAGTCATGGGAGCTGGTGGAGAGGAGAAGGATGAGGAGAAAGGCGGCAAATCTGAGGAGCGGAAGTCCAGGTTCTTCTTCTTTGTGAATGAAGGCGCAACCGACCCTGCCCTGGTTGCCAAGGTTCTCCTACACCCCCTCACCCATTGGGTGATTGACTCAGGAAGCCCCTGGCATATGACTCCTCGCGCTGACCTACTCGATGAGATTCAGCCCGCACCCATCTCTACAGTCAGATCCGCAATGGGCGCCAAGGCCAAGGTCATGGGCATGGGATGCGCCAAGTTCATGGGACGGGATGGAGAGCTCTGTCAGAATCCCAACCACTAGACCATTGGGATAAAATGGATTGTTAAGTAGCGGGTCAGTGCGCCCATAACCCCCCAGGACAACGAGCCTGTAACCCTTCCCTATGATCAATCGGGGATCACCAGTGGACCTCTGACACCCCCCCTCACTGAGATGCCCGAAGTGCACACACTGGGATTCGAACCCAAGACCTTCGCTCTGATACCATGTCAGAATCTCAACCACTAGACCATTGGGATAAAAGGGCTTATTAAGTAGCGGGTCAGTGCGCCCATAACCCCCCATGACAACGAGCCTGTAACCCTTCCCTAGGATCAATCGGGGATCACCAGTGGACCTCTGACACCCCCCCGCACTGGAATGCCCGAAGTGCACACACTGGGATTCGAACCTGAGACCGCTCTAATACCATGTCAGAATCCCAACCACTAGACCATTCGGAGAAAAGGGCTTGTTCAGTACCGGGTCAGTGCGCCCATAACCCCCCAAGACAATGAGCCTGTAACCCTTCCCTAGGATCAATCGAGGATCACCAGTGGACCTCTGACAAGCTCGTGGGGCTTAAGAAAGTGCTATGGGTGCCGGACTTATGCGCGAACCTGATTTCTACCAGCCGGTTGGGAGATGTGGGTGTGAACACCGAGACGATTGGCTCGGAGTGCTATCATGCCTACAACGATGAGCGGCTGATTTGGGACCTGCGCATGTGGCAGATCCCGGTCCTCCCTTGGCGGAAATCGGGTAAGGCGGTAGCCGCAGCATCTATGGAGGAGAGCGACGGTGAGGAGGAGCAGAATGGTGTGCAAGGAGAGGAGCTGATTGGAGGAAGCGTGGCGGTGAAGGTGTCGGCTACCTTGGGCCAAGCGACGTGGGAGACTTGGCATCGGCGACTCGCATACGTGGTTGTTTCTACATTGGAGGTGATGCACAAGGAGAAGTGCGTGCATGGGCCGCAACTGCAAGGAGATGGTGCTTCCGTTCGCAGCTCCGAGGCGTGCATGCAAAACAAGTCTGCACGGTTCCCGTTTCCACGTGCGGAGGGATCAGCACACTTACCATTGGAGGTGGTGCACATGGACCTGGTGGGCCCTATGAGGACGAAGGGGACTGGGGGAGTGTTGTACTTCCTCACCATGGTGGACGAATGGAGCCGTCTCACGTGGGCGCGTCCCTTGTCCAAGAATAGCGATGTTGCAGCGGCGATCAAGGAGGATTGGTTGCGGATGGTGGAGTGGCAAGCAATGTGGTTGGTGAATGTGCTGAGGAGTGACCATGGTGGAGAGTTCCTTGGAGCGGAATTCACCAAGTTTCTCAGGAGGAACGGCATCCGACACCAGCTTACCTGCCCAGGAACACCGCAGCAGAATGGCATTGCTGAGCGTGCCAACCGGACCATTGGTGAGGCGGCTAAGACCTTGTTGGGGGCTGCTGGGATGCCCTACAAGTTCTGGCCTGAAGCTGTTCGCCATATCATCACGGTCAAGAACAGGGTCTTGACGCATATTGGCGACAAGCACTGGGTGCCGTACGAGCGTTGGCTTGGGAAGAAGCCATCCATTGACATGCTGCGGGTGTGGGGCTGCATGGGGCTTGTGATGGTGCCTAAGGAGCAGAGGCAGAAGCTAGAAGTTGCTGATGTGTGGGATGTCCATCTTGGGATGGCTCCTGACTCAAAGGGGTGGTTGATGTGGGACCCCAAGAGCAAGAAGACACTGGACAGCCGTGACGTCAAGATTGTGGAGGACGTCATGTACAAGGAATGGCAGCATCAGCAGCCGGTGCAGATTGGCTTGCGTCTGCAGGAGACTGAGCGGTCTGCAGTGGAGGAGGTTCAGCTGCACCTTGAGGATCTCCCTGGGTCAGAGCTGACCAGTGACCACAGTGGCGGTGGTGAGCAGCAAGGTGCTGGTCCTGCTGCGGAGGAGGGATTGGAGGATGAGTCGGCACGTTTGGACTCACCATCTCAGCTCAAGCTTGGTGCAACCGCCAAAGTCACCAAGAGGAGTTTGGAGAGAGGAGCTTCACCACATGGGCAGCAGACTGCAACCCGCGAGAAGAGAGTGGCAAGCGCAACCTTCAACGCTGAAGTATAGCCGTTTGGGAGGACCTAAGCAAGGTGCCATGGCGGTTCAGGCGGATGAGGGAGATGATGAGGAGATGGTGTTCTGTTTCTTCACACCTCTGCTTGGAGAACCAGCCACATTGGAGGAGGCACTGAGTGGACCTCAGAAGGAGGAGTGGAAGGCTGCCATGGATGCGAAGTTCAACAGTCTCATTGAGAATGGGACTTGGGAGCTTGTTGAGTTACCTGAGAGGCGACGGCCGATCAGCAGCAAGTGGGTCTTCGAGGTGAAGAGTGGAGCTGATGGTGCGTTGGAGTGGTTCAAGAGCCGCTTGGTCGAGAAGGGGTTTCAGCAGAAAGAGAAGGTCGATTTCAGGAGAGATCTTTGCTCCTGTTGCTAAGCCAGTGACACTAAGGACTTTGCCGGCTGGCGCAGCTGTGAAGGGATGGTACGTGAAGCAGGTGGATATCACCACTGCGTTCCTCAATGGAGTGCTGCTGGAGGATATCTACATGGCGCAGCCCGACAGCTATGAGGATGGGACCAGCCGGGTGTGTAAGCTTAAGAAGGCTATCTATGGCCTTAAGCAAGCGCCCTCGTGTTGGTACGAGAAGATGGAGGAGGTGCTGCTGGGAGGAGGCTTCAAGATGTTCCAAGCAGATCACAGCCTGTTTCTGCTTGGAGAGTGGGAGCAGCTGCTCTTGCTGCTGGTGTATGTCGACGACATACTGCTGTTCTCACCCTCCATGGAGCAGATTGAGAGGACACAGAAGCTGTTGATGGACAACTTCAAGTGCAAGATGCTGGGGGATGTCCACTACTAGTTGGGGATGCAGATTGAGAGGGATGTTGAGAGGAGGTGGCTGAAGGTGCATTAGTCACACTACATCTCTGGTGCCATGGAGCGCTACGGTGTGACTGGGGGTCGCATTGTCATGACACTGTTCCCTGCAGGCTTCAAACTGAAGAAGGCAGCTGAGGAGGATGATGTGCTTGAGGATGAGCAGCATAATGAGTACCAGTCACTCATTGGGAGTGTGATGCATGCTGCTGTGCATACGCAAACTGATGATGGGGCAGCTGGCCAGAGTTGTGCAACAGCTCACTGAGGAGCAGTTGGAGGTGGCAAAGCACTTGGTGTGCTACCTCGGATCAACGGCATCTGCTGGTGTTCAGTTTTTCAGCTGGCGGCCAGCTGAAATGGTTTGGAGCAGATGGGATCAAGCCTGGAACCTTGAAGCTGTCGTGCCTCACCGACGCTACATGGGCCTCGGAGGAGGAGGATCAGTCATCCGTTGGTGGCTTTGTCTGCATGGTCGGAGGTGGACCAGTGATTTGGAGGTCCAAGAAGCAGAGTGAGATTGCTCAAGAGAGGCAGAGTACATCGCGATGTACCTCGCCATCAAGGAGATTGTGCTCCTGAGGATGCTGCTAGAGGACATGGGAGCTGAACAGCAGGGACCTGCACCGACAGAGACGCTGCTAATGGCATGGCGAATAATCCTATCCTGAATGGACTGAAGAAGCACATGAAGATTAAGTGGCATTGGGTGAGGCATATGGTGAAGGAAGGGATTGTTGCGCTTCACCATGTGAAGGCTAGTAAGCAGGCGGCAGATCTTCTCAACAAAAACGCCCACCCACACAGCCAATCATCAGCCCCGAAAAAATCTTGAGCCACTGTGTCTGCGACCCCGTGGAGCCCGTCGCACTCGGTACTTGATACACTGCATGGATCGTACACCCACTAAAGACAACTGGGTACCCCTAGATTAAATTGAGAACCACCCCGTCCTCACCGAGTAAATGCGCAACCGAAATTTCCGGGATGTACACGCACTCTCGTAAGGGGGCCTCCTTGGGGAGGGGGGAAGTGTAATTTTTTTCCTTTTCCTTACTTCGCACCCCTGTTTACCACGTACACGGTTATTCCCGCTAACTATCAACCGTTACCACTCGCGACACTCGCCTTGACCACTGTTCCCGCCACTATTCACATTGCGACCGAACCTCGTGGCTCTGTTGGTAACCTGCTCTTCGGTCCTCCGCTTCGACAATTCCCAACCTCGGCGCCAGGCCCGCCGTGCACCCCACACTTTGCGTGTTATATAACATTTGCTCATTCCTTCGCTCAATATATTGTTTTGCTTCGATAGTGCAATCTTCGTTCACTCACTCAATTGCACTCGTAACAGTACCCCACCACCAGCACGTGCGCTAGAGGCGGCGGACAACGGCGGGGATTATGGTACCTCCTACTGGCCGACTTCCAAAAAGCCTACGACACAGTGTCCAGATTGGTACCTCATGGGATGCCTGCACAATTTGTACGATGGGCAGAGGGGTTGCACAAAGGGTCATGAACGAGAATTGCTATAAATGGCTGGATCGGGGAACGAGTAGAGATGTAGAGGGGAGTGCAGCAAGGCTCCCCGCTAGCACCCTACCTGTAACTCGGTGCTTTAGAGCCTTTATGCGCGGGGATCAAGAAGTGTGGCATGGGAGTTAAGGCGGACGATGGGAGTTAAGGCGGACGATGGTGAAGCGGTGGCGTACTTGGGATACGCGAACGACACCTTCCTGATTCTCCGTGGTGCCGATCAGCTGCACTCAGTGGCGGAAGCCCTGGTCTTGTTTGGAAGGCTGTCAGGTCTGCACACCAACCATGAAAAATCGATCGTTATGCCGCTGGGAATTAACAAGGGCAGAACGCCGCTGCCGGGGGTCGCTTTCAAGTGGGCGGAGGACGGGTACCCGAGCGTCTTCTCGGGATATGGGTGACACCAGATGGCGATGCGACGCCGTCCTGGGTGAAAGAATGGGAGAGAGGGAAAGGAGAGTTAGTCAAATGGGAAAATCAACACCTGTTGACATCGGCGAGGGTAACGGTGGTCAACAACTATATCATGCCAATACTCCCCTTCCAGGCCCAGATCTACCTGTCGCCTGAAGAACTGTGCGCGAAAATCCGGAAAACTTGCGACAACTATATCTCCAGCCGACAGGCAATGGCAGACAAGCTTTTCATCCTTTGGAGCGGGGAGCTGGCCCGGCTGCCGAGAAAGGAAGGCGGTCTGGGTCTCATTGATCCGTAGGATCGACTGGACAGCTTCGTAATCTGCAAGGTGGGGAAGTTGTTGACGGAGCAGAACGCCACCAAAAGGAGGCTGGCGGAGAAGGCGGCAGCGATGCAGCAAGGGATAGAGACGCTCTTCGCCCACAAGTCCACAGGCAGACACTGGGAGAAAGGAAGTCAAAGGTGGAAGGCGATAGCGGAGTTCTTCTGGGAGTCACCGTTCGCTGATCTCCCAACGCCGACCAATGGCTGGGAAGCTGAACAGGAACTGCCCTACTTCAACCGGCGCATCATGTTCCAGAGGGGGAGTCCTTTCGGGAACCAGAAAGGCACTGCGGCCATCTTGACAACCAGACTGGGGAACCTGCTCACTACCAAGGAGGATGAGAGCAGAGGCATAAAAGACATCAAATCGCTGACGGTGGAGTTCGGGTGCGTGGCGTCAGCCCGGTGGGTGACAAAGGCGTACAAGGCAATTTCGGGGGAATGGAAAGCGCTACTAGCAGCACCGAAATCCGCGGAAGCAGTGATGGCAGCAGCGACAGTCGTGCGCACGGTTTTGGCTCGCACAAAAGAATTCATGTATTGGACAGTGCAGGGGACCAAGGAGGGGGGGGTTGCGACGGACCACTTACGCTACCTGGACGGCTCAAACCTGGAGGTGTCGCGGAGGCCATACGCGGTCAGTTTTCTCGCTAACAATGTGGTGCTGATGGTGGTCAAGAGAAGCACAGTGCTTGGGGAGATGGGCGCGCTGCGTGTCAAGCTCTGTCAGACGCAACTGGTGGGAGACAGCATGAGGCCGGCGGCGCCCAAAGTAATACGGAGGGTCCTCACGGGCCCAGTAAGAACGTCAAGAAGGAGGCACGAGTGGGAGGAAAGAATGGGGCAAAAAGATTGACTGGAAGGCGATGGCGCAAAGGAGAGACTCCCTGGTGATCCCTTACAGGGCAAGGGACGTGGTGCTGAGAATGTACAGCAAGAGCTTGCAAGTGGGAGGGAGGCTGGTTTTCCTGGGCCCCAGGGGCTGCTGCCCGCACTGTGGAGAGCTTGAAACCCTAGCACACTGCATGCTCACCTGCAATGTTATTCAGCCAGGATTGGCGCGCTGCTGGAGTCACTGCGGATGATAGACCATGCGGACCAGATGAGGTCGCTCGGCGACATGCTGTTCAAGGAGGGAGCCACGAAGTCTGGTTTTCCGGACGCAACGTTGACAGTAGTGACGATGCGGAGGATCTGGTTGGCCAAGGTGGATGCGGTGTACCAGAAGGAGAGGTTCCAACGGAAAATGGTGGCAAGGGCGGCAATCTATGATTTCATGTGGCACGCAAGGGTCTACAGAATGGAGAAGGCAAGGAAAGCAACCTGTGGTGGGGTCCAAGGGCAGCCACACGATCTGTGGGATGGTTTGGCAGGTGATGAGAGGGCGGCGGTTGGTAGAATCAGCGAAGCAGGAGAACAAGCCACGTAGAGGGAGGGGTTCCTATCCATCTGGAAAAACCCCAAGACCTTTTACCATCCTCCATAGACATGTACAGGAGGGAGGCACCTGAATTCAGGCTGAGGTTGTCGGTTCCCTCCAGAACCCAGTTACGATTGTGAATGTATTTGCATTGTTATAGTGCAGATTCACTCCCTTATTAGAAAAAAAAAAAAAAAAAAAAAAAAAAAAAAAACGTGCGTAAGACAACTCTACACAACCCCAGGCTCGACAGCGCTTTCAGAGATTGCCCCACCCCCACTACTTCTTGCACCAAGATGTCAGAGGTCCACTGGTGATCCTCGATTGATCCTAGGGAAGGGTTACATGCTCGTTGTCCTGGGGGGTTATGGGCGCACTGACCCGCTACTTAACAAGCCCTTTTATCCCAATGGTCTAGTGGTTGGGATTCTGACATGGTATCAGAGCGAAGGTCTCAGGTTCGAATCCCAGTGTGTGCACTTCTGGCAT